CTTAATGCAAAAGTATCATTTTAACTAAAGCAGGAGTTTACATGTGTAAGAGGAACCTTTTACACTCATGGTTGCTCGTTCATTCCAAAAATACAACAAGTTTATGTTAAATTGTAATGTTTTTTTGAAATCACATTATAATTGTGGTAATAAAACGCCACTGGATGTTTTATACTTAAATGTGCATGTTTGAATTTTTTTTCAAAATAACATTTGTTTAATGTTGAAATTTCATTGTAATTTTACAGAAATGTGTTACAGTGTACTCTCCTAGTCTGTGTTCGTACGGTTTGGTTCTCTGAGCTGTTGTTAAGCAATCAACAACTTCGCAAAGTTCTCTGAGGCGACTGCTGTTGTTTTTTAGGGCTATACAAAATACATTTAATTGAATTGAACTATTCTCTGAACAAGCTGATCGAAAATACATGCATATGAAAATACTAACAAACCCACAGCGTTTTGGAAGCAAGGAGCAATTATATTTCATAGTTATTTATTTTAAACCATAAAAAGTCTGAATTTGAGCATTATTGTTTACTCACAATGAATCGACTGCCTCGTTCAGAAAGCCGGTCGCATGAAGAACATACTGCATTGCTGCCATTGGGTCACAATAATTACATTCAATGCTGTAAAAGTAATTTCTCATAAGTTCCCGCTGCCCGTATTGACCATGGGGACATTCTAGGCTTAATTATTGACCAAACATTTGTGCGATGTTGAAAAATCAGCTTTTGTGCAGTTGTTTTATAGCCTATAGTGTTTTGCATAGTGACTGCCAGAGTGGAATTGTTGTGGCAGAAAGATTTTGAACGGGGATTTGCCTTGATCCCTAGCTGTAGTTTGGGACCAATAGTAGCACTTTATTGGTGTGGTAATCCCACAAAGTGTTGCTGAAATAGATACAAAGCCTGTGTTTGTGCTAATCCACACTGGCTGGAGGTTTTCAGCTGGTTTATGGACGGTTAAAGCTGCAGTGGCCCAAAAGCTATTTTACTACTGTCCTTCACACACACACAAGACTGAAATGCTTCTTTTGGTAAGAAATAAAGGACATTTGAAAATTGTGTTTGGTGGCAGGAGAAAGAAGAACATGTTTTTTTTTTTTGTGAGCCTGCTTTTGCAAAAATAAAATAACAAATACCAAGAGTAAAAAGGACGTGAAGTTTTGATGGTTAAACAAACATTAAACAAAAATACCAAGAGAAAAATAACGTGTTTACTCCCCATAGTTCAAACATATAAAAGATAATATCTCTCTGCTGATCCATTAAAAGTTAGGTTGATCTTTGTTATTGTTTCACAGTATGGTTTGTTATCTCCATAGCAACAGGCAGCGCCATACAACACAGATCATATCAATTTAGATTCTGAAGTCACAGTGAGACCTGGATTTCAGAAATAGTATTGCATGTGCCACAACTCTCTAATTACAGAAAAAATCTAAACAATCAATGCACTATGCAAAGACCAAGATTGAGATTCTAAAATAAATTATACATCAAATTAAGTCACCATAAAGAAACACATGCAGCCCTTCCATCAGCTAGAAAGTTACATGTTGCGACTCTATTGCTTTTCTTAATGCAAAACATATCTCCTCATACTGTGTGGTGTTTCCCCCATGTTGAACATCAAACAAATGCATTGCCCCAAACATGCCGATAAATCCATCTTGTTTCAGCGTCGAGTGGCCCAGGAAAAGCAAAACATCGATTCATTCTCTATCAACAAAATCAGAAACCAATTGTGGCGATTGCGATCGATAGCAGATGGATCGTTTTTCTCTGCATGTGATCTTGGAAATGGTCCTGGGACTTATGAACTGTATGCATTGCTATTGATTAAGCAGTGACATGCTGCAGCGGCTCCTAAAATAGATAGTTATGACTTTGCACAGGTCCCTGCAGAGAGGACAGGGGCTGGAGTGGTCTGGACGCACCATTGATTAAGTTTAAAGGTGACCGCGATGTTCTATTGATCTGCACTAGTGGGACAGGTGCACACATGAGACACAAAGTAAAAGTGTACGTCACAGAGGAGGAGTTTTAATGGGATGAGGCCAATGAGACGGTAATGGCAAAGTAAATGTCTTACAGTACGTAACTATAGTGATGCATCAAAAAGTACTTTTGAAGCTGGTTGTGAAGTGCTTTATTTGTAAAATTGGGAATTGTACAAAATAGGGTAAAAAGAGATTGAGTGATAGTGATCCATATTTCAATGTTGTTGTTTTAACCATGCAAAATAATCACTATGTTTATTCCGTATTGACTATTTAAATTTCAGATTTGATGAGTTATAATGAAATACAATAATAATAATAATAATACAAAAACAATAATACTGCTACTACTACTCTTTCAGATTAGATGAGTTATAATAAAATAAAATAATATTAATAATAATAATAACAATAATAAAAATAATAATAATAATACAAAAATAATAATACTGCTACTACTACTCTTTCAGATTAGATGAGTTATAATAAAATAAAATAATATTAATATTAATAATAACAATACTAATAATAATAATAATAATAATAATAATAATAATAATAATAATAATACAAACATAATAATACTGCTACTACTACTATTACTACTACTACTAATAATAATAATCATAGCAACGGATGAAAAATATATTTGTGTTGCCAAACTTGCTCAACTATGCATAATTTTCACTATGACAGTGATTGAAAACAATTAGTGAATTCAGCTCTTCTTTAGTCTCTTGCACTGGTACTTGCAATTGTTACTATTACCTCACCCCAATATCTGAGCCTATCCATTTTAATGCAAAATGTTGAAAATCACGATCTACAAAACTTTAGATTTTCATATTTTTCTCTTTCTATTTTTGGCAAAGCTCAATTTGTACATGTATTTAATCTTGAACTAAATTATTGATTAGGATTACCTAGAGCTGGAGGATGTTTTCCACTTTAATGGTTGACGACGAGGGAAACCAGTGTGTTTGGAGTTGAGCAGGAAACAGCAGAGTGATGTTCTTTGAAATGCAAGATACAAGAAAATTAATAGTTTAAAGCTACAGCTGCAGTCGTCATAAACCTCCAATGACAAATGTGAGTACTTCTGTCGCTATTGAATATGGTGCTGCAGATAAAGATTTAAGATATGAAATGAAATATGTCTTTAATATAATAACGTCACATTATGGTTTGTCAATCACCCAAACCTCTCGTCTCTTTTGGCTCAGATATTGGAGAAGGAGGTTTTTTGGGATGAGCTAAGATGGCAGCTTCTCCGCCACGCTTTGGAGGCTGCTGATAAACTCTGATAATCGTCTGATGATTAGCCAGCGCAGAGCATTAACCGGCAGAACACGAATCCGAGGTTAGCCACACGGATATAGATTTATCCATCCCATCTCTCACCTCTCTGCTAAACAAAGGCTGCTTATTAAAGTGAATATTGAGTGGCGCACACACGGTTTTAAGAGAAATATTGACACCAAAGCCCCCGTTTTCCTCCTTTACCAAAAGACAATTACACCGGTCAATTATTTAAGAGGCTAAAGTGGCTAACTGTTAGCCCAAATCGGCTTAAGTCGAGTGTAGCCCATTGATTGTTTTCTCTTTGGCAGTTCACCTATGCAGCCATTACCATAACAGTGATTTGGTTCAAGCTAATCCGCATCTGCCATGTCCCAGTTATAAATAGTCATATTAAGTCTATAATTACGAGATATGAGGTGGTCATTTCACACTACAAACGTCTGGCAAAGTGGAGGGATTAATGTGTTGATGCTGCAGGGAACTTGGAAATAAAACAATAATAAAAGACTCATCACATTATTCTCAGAGACACACAACACCTTAAAGACATATTCTAATTTTAAGCACAAGACAAGATTAAGTTGCTCATCAGAACGAGGCTGCCGAGAAAACAAGGGCATTAGCACAACTTTGAAAAGTAAAGGGGAAAGGGAGCCTTTTTTGTTTATGTAATTCACTGTGTATCTTACGACCTCGTGGTTTTTTATACAAATTATACAAAGCAATTACAATGTAAAATCAATCCTCAATATTGTGTTAATTATTGTTCGTCTTGTGTGGGTTCACATCTTAAGGCTACTCTGAGTTTATATGGATACATAACTTGTTGTCGTGTGGGTGGTGAATATATGAAACTAACACATGAACTGCATGATTTCCCCAGTGGAGATGTAAGTCCCCTTGTAAGTCTGAATATTTGTTTGTGTTACAAGTCTAATTTCAAATGAAAGTCAACATAACTGTGCTTGCTTTGTGTAAATGTAGCATAGTCCAATATTCCTGTTGCTCTGTGTCCCTAAATTTTGGCTCCAAGTGGTTGCCAAGCAACTAGTGAGGCCTCGAGGAAGTTTGTGCCCAAAGCCAAACAATGTGGCATCACAGCACCCGTCACATTATAAACGGGTGTTTTAACACTTTGTTTTTGGACAAATTACACAAACAAGATATAATGTGCTAATTATCAAGATGTTGCTTTGCAGATTGTTTCAGTCTTGTTTTATTACGCTTGCTTTTTAGGTTTTTAAAACAGCTGAAGTTGATGGTGGCCTGGGTCACATTTGTATCGTGGATCAGAGTCGCTAAACGCAGCAGGTGGCAGCCTTGTCTTAGTGCAGCATACATTTGCATCAAACAGTTGTACTGCTGTGACATTTGGGCTGTGTACATTACTGATTTGGCTTCACTTCATCTTTATCTTTTCTCAGAAACAAACAGTGGCCAACAGAGCTTCAGAAGATACAGCCACACCACAGTCTGCCCTGCTGTGTGGAGCCCTGTGGAGCTGCACACCATTCGATAAGACAGCATGGAGCACAAATCAATATGGATTAAAACTCTGTTAGGCGCTATCTAGTGACTTGTCCTCTGCGCTAAGAAACACATGTGCATTTATTAAGCCGGGCTGTACATTAAATTCCATTCTGAGTGGGAGACAGACGTGAGGGAGGTGAAAAGTAGGATACAATTGTTAGTTTTAAGACTGTACCACGCCCCGTGGACCCCCCGGAGAAGCTCTCTCCAGCTGCTCAGTGCACTGATGGGAAAGTGGGGGAGGCAGTGGGGGGCTCCCATCCACCTGCCACACCTCAGCAACACACGCTCACATCGAGCCACACTCAGCTGTACTGAGCATGCTCAGACCTGTGGAGTGACAGTCTGGCGCTGGGCCCTCACCCCAGTGGCTGTGGGTTTCCCGCTGAGCACCGTGGGCCACCAGAGATTATCCCTGCACTAGCAGACAGTCACAGAATGTTAATCTGACATCTTTTCTACTGTAATGTTAAACCTGGGTATTTTCTCATTTCCTCCTCCCCTTTCTCCCTCTACTCTCTCCTCTCTCAGCTCTATCCACTACCAGAAATCCAACACAATCTTTTTCTAACCCAAACTGGTGTGTCCTCTCAGTCTGATGGTTTTAACCCGATCCTCTCGCACTTGATCCCTGTCCTCTCTGAGCGGCTGCCAGGCCTCCTCCCAGTGGCTCTGATCCGCTGCAGCCAGGCCGGTACAGTGGCGCATTGATCCGCTCATCCCAGAGAAAACAAAACCAGCTCCTCTCTTCATCACTGAGGAGGACGAGGCAGCTGCAATATGGTAGAGCGGGGACAGAACTGAGGCCACGGGGCTAACGACACATTTACTTCAGAGCTTTTCAAAGGCACCAACATCTCCACAGGGATCACAGAGCACATGGGTCGCTCTGTTTTTCCAGTGATTGTTCTGAATGTCCTGTTTTTGTGTTTTTTCTCTTACTACGTATCTGATTGACTGACAGACACATTTTTTAACCACTGCAACACCACTGATCACAGTTGTCCTGATGATTTGAAAGTAGAGATAACATATCAACCAAAAAGGCACCATCACTAACTAAATAAATACAACAAAAATGTTTTCTGAAAATCAAATAAATGAACTACCTATTCATTCCATTTGAAACGGAAGCTACAGTTAGAACTTACAGAACCCACTCAAAGACTTGTGAAGTTGTAAAACATTACATAAGAATTGTGAAACATTTTGCTGTTTAAAAATATTGAAACGCGACAATGTGTTTCTCTGATAAATGTCTGTCTTACACAATCTGACAAACTTTTGGTCGAGTGGTATTTTTTTCTCGGTATTTTTTACTTTGAGGCCATTACAACAACGTGCGTATGCATTTGAGGAAAAAAAAAATCTTGTGGTGTCAGCTGAACAGGGAAAAGGGCTTTAAACTAAAATGATATACTGCTTTAATTATCAGAGAAGTGGATAAAAAAAAAAAACCTGACGTGATTTGTATCTCTTATTACCATTTTTCTCCTATTTGGACTAATTTTACTTGTTTTAATCTCAGGAGCATTCACCTGCTTTTTATATATCTGTACAATCTCCATGAAGACTACATTTAAATCAGTCAATAAAGAACTCAATAACAAATAGACAAATGGTCTGCGCTAAACATACAGTGAGATCCACAATTTAGCCTTTTCAGCTCCCAGAAATAAAACCAAACTGACTGTGACTTTTGAGGAGAGCGCACAGAGCAAATAAAACTGTATATTTCATGATATGTTCCGAGACAGAAAGTAATAAGAAAGAGCAAAGAGGGAACCGACTGTCGGTAAATATCACATGGTGAAAATTCAGTTTCATACAAAAAAAAAAATGTTTTAATTTAACCCCAGGAATAGAGTTTAGGAGAATTCATGTCTTCATCTTTTAGCAGCAATTTGCACTGGCATTTGGAGCTCAACAGGGATTCGGCTTAATCTACAGTTTTACATAATAATATGACACGTGTAATGAGGTTTTGGTGCCACATTGAAATCATTACAGTACACAGACATGGATGCTTCTCTTAAAATAATGCAGATCTCTTTCCCTGGTAAATAATGTGAGCTCAGTCCTGCAAATATTTATTTGCCAATGCAAGTATATGATTGATAAATATGATTTAATAATATGGGATATGTATGGATTGGTTAAACTGCCTACTGTACGTGCAGGTTTCCCCCCTTGCTCTTGTGATTCTTTGCATTGCAATACAGAAATATGTTTTTAATGCCCCTGTCTGTGGAGTATGTGGGTCATGTGGACCACAACTCATTTGCACGTACCATTTTATTATTTCTTGTTTGTAGTTCCCCAAATGTTGTTTATTGTATGTACAGAAAAGCATTAACTAAAAGTGCCTTGTATTATGGAGAAGGTAATGTGGACTGTAGGACGTTAAGAGACTTATTGGAGAAGTTGTGTATATTTTTGCTGTAAATATCCTTTTGCCTGAAGACTTTTCACTGTGCTCTCTAAATACAATGTTGTACATTTCCCACTGTTTTTCTATAGAGAACTCGTGAAAACCTGTAAAACGGCAATTCCAACGCAGCTATGAGTTTGTGAAAAGGAACCCATCATACATCTATAAAAATTCTCACCTTTGGCCCTCCGCGGGTGGTTATCCCTCTCTAAGCTCAGGTCCTCTACCAGAGGCCTGGGAGCTTGAGGGTTCTGCGCAGTATCTTTGCTGTTCCTAGCACTGCACATTTCTGGACCGAGATGTCCGAGGTTGTTCCAGGGATCCGCTGTAACCACTCATCTAGCTTCGGGGTCACTGCCCCAAGTGCACCGATCACCACGGGCACTACTGTCACCTTTACCCTCCAGGCCCTCTCCAGCTCCTCTCTGAGCCCTTGGTATTTCTCAAGCTTTTCAGGTTCCCGGATGTTACCATCGCTTGGAATTGCCACGTACACCACCACGGCTAATGATAACACTAATGATAACAAAATATTATCAGCTTTGGGTTGAACATTGGCCACAAACCCGAACATTAAATTCAATTACTGTAGCTCTGTAAATGGCAAAAATATAAAAAAACATATTTCCATAAGTGTGTTCCAGATGATCCAAAACAACTACTCTGTGAACATGAATTACTGCATAGCTGTTAGCTTATGTCAAGCCTCACAACTCTTGACACATACGTTTTCAAAAAGCCTATGGGGGAAAATGTATAGGGATTTTTGCACCCGGAGTGGACCATGGAGAGGGCCGTGCACTGTATCATACACACAACCTGGTCTTCTCGACTTGAAAAAAGTTGTATTGCACGCCTCTAAGGAAGCTGTGTTTGCAATTCTAGAAATCCAATGTTTAACCTAACCCTGCAATGCACAAACTTCGAAGGTGCCGTGTCACACCATTTGCACTCAGACATATGTGTCTATCCACTGCTGTAGTCACCTTCACAAGCCATCCGCTAATCAAAACACTGTGACCCTATGGCACTATATTTAATTCACACTTACAAACAAGAGAGAAAGGGGGGGAAAAAATCCTTATGGGAAATGTAACTCCCAATTAATTGTAGATTAACAATTAACAATTTGGTGGGAAAAATACACAGGAAATTGTGAAGATTAATTTGAAACAGCAAAATGAGACTTATAATCACAGCAACCATAATGCAATCCAAAACATGAAAATATAGTAGAATCTCTTGAGGCGATACCCAACCCAGCTTAGATTGATTAAAAATGCAGTTATAAACCTACAATGGGATTAAAAAACACACATATTTTGCCCAGTAGGAGTATTCACAATCACATTTATAAGCCACTATGGAAGTGAACAGGCTACGGTACATTCAACTTACTGATCACATGGTAGTCTCCAAACGGATCCTCCTCCTCATCCAGATAAGCTTTAGGTGAATGATTAATGGGAAGACAAAAAAGAAAACAGACATGAAAAATGCACTTCAAACTAAAATATAAAAATAACATCAAATAGGAGCTGAATCTTCCAGAGAGTTGGTGGCATTCAAGGTTTATGATTCAAGAAATTATTTGCCATTTGCAGTAAAACCACATTGGATGAATTCTGCAAGACCATGCCAGTTTACACCAGACAGCAGACACCAGAGCTCATGCCACGGCGCCATGCAAAAAATAACATTTAAGTATAAATAGCAAAATTAAGAGATATTAGATGTGAAGTACCAATCTGATCACACTGTTAATAACAGTTAAAGTACCATGTTCGGGAGTTTGAGTATGCAATAGACAAGCAGCAATCCCGTATAATACTAGCAGCCGCAGTAATCACAATAGATTAGAAGTAGTCTATGGTTTTATCCTAATATTTAGTTCTGCCTATCCTCAGGGATTGATGTACATATCAATGGAGAAAATTGTCATGCGTGGATTAAGATTCAGAAATAGTTTCCTCCTATCACTTCAGCACCGAGTCTTGCAGCCACATTATGAGGCTCGGCTCTGATTATCAAACTATAAAAAGTAGTTTGAGCTTCTTCACGCCGCAGAAAATATGATCAGTCATAATTAGCTGGAGAATTCTCATTTTGCTCTGCCGCTGCTTCCGCCTCTCTCTCTTTGCCTTTTATTTCCTGGCAGGTATGAAGATGGCATGAGAGGCCATTACGGCTCACTAAAACTCCCCATTAGAGCCGGAGACCAGTTCCCAATCACATCCAGTCGCTCTTTTGACTCTATTTTACAAGGATATAATACGGTTACACAGGTAAAGGCTGGTCCACAATGGGAGCTTTGAGAATAGGCATTTTGATTAAATTCTTCATAGAAACATCTCATCACTCATTTGTCTTTATTCACTGCAGTTTCACATTTTTCATATTTTGTGTTCCATTATTTCTTCGTGGTCACCTAGTCTTTTACCATTTTTCAAGATTTCCAGGGTTGTCACGAGAGCAGATAAAGGAAAGGTTTCTTGGCTTTCATCCAACAATGTTTAATATTGTTAGACAGATTTGTGACAAGGAAATAATTCTGTAAATATTGTCTTGCCTGGCTACTCTTATTAGAGATTTACCAACATATATTTATTCACAGAGTCATTAGAAGTAACAACAAAAAAGTGGGGGCGAATCAAAAATCACAACTGAACGTTCAAATGAATTGACACAAATGCAAACAATAATAACGGTAATTTTCACATTGAAATGATCGATTAATATACCTTGGATCTCTCAACGTCTTTTTTATGACAGTGCCTTTATTAACCCCTTCAACCCCTCTGATCATTTGATGTTTTTTAATTATCAAGGTAACTCATTTACCAGTCCATCAACTGGTAATAGAATGCAGGGAGAGAGACCGATGCCAGTACAGTTCCAGGTTTTATGAAGACCTGATGTTTTGAGATAGACTTGTGGTCCCTTTATTTGAACTGGTATTGTGTTTCGAGGTCCTTTTTTTCCAATTTGCAGTACTAAGATGCACAATACATATCTATATATCATAATGGTGTGTCTCCCCTGCTCCTGCCCCGCTCTTTCTGGAAAAAAAAACAACAACAAATGTTAGCAACCACACCTTTAATGGCGACATTTGTGTGCATGGGGTAGGCTTGTCACTGTACACACCTTTGATGGATTGTACATTGTTTGAGAAAATGATTGGAATAAATAATAATATGGTGTTCTTCAGGAAAGAAAGCAGTATTAAATATGATATTTGGACCTTTTGAACATATGATTTAAATTCCGCATTTCTCATTATCTTCTATATCTCCTCTTGGCATGACCAGCACTAGTAAGACTTTCTACATAATGAAAGCTAATATAATGCATTTGAATCAATTGCAACCAATCAGAAAACTATGGAGGCCGGTCTAACTGGTTCTTGCATTTAAGATTAAGTTTAAGAAATCCTTTATTTAAGCACACAAAACGAGATAAACTAGCTCTACACTAAAATACAATAAAATAATCTCTAACTGTAGCATTATAAAGAAGCAAGTATAAAATCTATATATTTAGCATAACAAGGAAGCAAATCCAAATCATCCAATGTTTGCGTAATAAAGAAGCAAGAATTTAATTAAAATCTCTGACCACAATAAGATGTACGTCTTTATCTTTAGCATGGTAAAGAAGAATTTGAAAAATGTCTCTAACCTTCACTTTAATTACTATTTCGTCTTAATGCACCTACTACCTCTAAAAAGGTATTTTTTTATACAGCAAAAATGGCAAGAATCTCTTTCGCAAAGAAACATTACAGACAATAAACATTGAGGCCCAAAATATAAAGTCATATCCATCAGTAATCGTACAATACATGTAACTTGCATATTCACACATATTTTTTAACTGCAAGTCCTCAAAACTCATATTATACCTACTCCCTATTCATACCACCCCCGTACAGTCTCAATCTCGTGCACAATCGCCGGGTCACGTGCACGCCCAAACAGAGCCATGGTGTGTTTGGGAGAGCGAGCTGTCAGGCCTGCTCTCTCACACCATTCATCACAAGCTACTAATTCTGTTAGACCATTGTGGAGGCTTTTGCACCCCACGTCGCTGTGTGAAAACTCAATCAGAGCCTAATGCCCTCAGCCTCTCACACCACTCTGAGGTCTACACATGCTCTGACCGGCCGGGACAGACCACCACTCCAAGTCAGTAACAACTGCATCACACTGATTGACATGAACAAGTAACTATGGGGAGCAAGGAAAACAAATGTTATGGTACTTGTTGTAAAACCTAACAAAATCTGTATGTTTTGAACGTTTGTGTATTCATTTTGCTTGTCCCAACTGTTTGAAGGGGACGTCTACAACCTCAATTCTATTTCATTAAGAAAATAATACACATTGTTGACCATATAACCTGGAAGTATTATCTATATTAAGTCCTTCCCTTTGGAATTGGCAAAACCAGTTAAATTTTCTGGAGGAGAATAAACCAATGAGAGCTGAATCCAAAGGTGAAAGGTCTCAGCTGTCTGTCAGCTTGTCTGGTGCACACTGGGGACTCTTGTAAAACCAACGTGTTTTGCTGCAAATGGTAAATGGACTGAATCTGAATCAATAATTTGAATTTATTGTGAGGGCAGGTTTTACCAGTGCTTGCAACTATGGCACCTGTTGTTCCCAGAGGTCTCCCATCACAGCACTACTCAGACACTGGCTTGCTTAGCTTCAGAGGTCTGACAGGATCTGGCTTTCACATGCAGGTTGATGCCGCAGGTAGATACACTTAAACCAGTAGTTGTTTTTCAAAAAGCACCTATAAGCAATAAAAAGTCATTTGTTTTTGGAGCTGTAACATTATATAACACAACTTATACACACTGTACACAATATAAATGCCTGCTGGATCCTTTTTAAATAATATTTGATACTAAATGGAGCTGGAGCAGGAAGAGTCTGAAACAGTTTTTGATTTGAATAGAACAACAATATCCACAAAACTTGAAAAAACCTTCTCAACAGATTTGATTGACGTACCCAAGTTACTAATGTTGACGAAGAAAATCAACGGCAAAAATAACATGTGTAATCAGCACGTGCCACACAGTTAACCGTTCAGATATACTGTATGTGGAGCACAAACTGGAATGACAAAAACATAATTGATTTAATTCGCTGTGATTACATGATGATCTTCTCTACTTTTAATGCACTGTCTTGTAAGTTTTTATGGCAAAGGGCTTCACTGATTTAGCTTTGATTTGTGCGGCATTTTTGTGTGTGTGTTGCACTCTGCCACCTGTGCTTGTAGATTTGATTAGTTAATCAGAACTTCTTGGGTTTTATAAAACATAATTACAGAACCAAACTGTAAAAATAAAAACATAAAAAAATAATTAGGCATTCGAAATTCAGACTTTTAAATGTAGATGTCAAAACTGTGTTTTGAAGTTATTCATGGTATTTACCTTATTAGAGCAACTTGAAAAAAGTTTAATTATTCAGCAGTTGATACAGTGGCACATAAGAATTGTTTTTTGTTGTATGTGTGTGAGGGTTAGGGTCACTGTGCATATCCACCAATAGGTCTGTATCCATAGCAACTTCAAAAAGGTGAATCATCTTAAAGCTTTGGTACCTAACTTTCAAACCACACACGATCATGTATCCATCTAACATACATCTACCCATTTAACTTGTTAAATTGTGACTAAGAGTACCACCCTCAAGAATAATGACATGCAAAGTGTCTTTAAGTGTCCTGAAAACCGCTATACAATATCGATGCAATGTCATTATTAATATTATACATATTGATATGGTTTTAAGTTAGATAGCTCTTCCTAAATTAACCAACAGTTCAAATCTGATTCAACTGACCTGCTTGTGATATCAAATTTAGCTTTGTCACGTCCTGTATTTCTTTAAGGCAACACTACCCGCACCACTGTTTGAGAACCGTCCTTAATAAAGGCAAATGAGCGAATCCAGGCGTCTGAACACACCACACTGGGGGCAGGGTTGGGCAGAAAGGCCAGACTAAATTTAGCGCCACCTTTTCCTTGCCTAATTAGGAGATTAATACATCCTGTCACATATGTCACAATACGAGGCTATGATTTATTATCCAGTGAAGCAGATGGAGAGATTGAGGAAAAAGGAGGAGAAGGGTGAAGCTTGCTCATCAGCATATAGGTCTGATTGGAACGACGCCGTGCTGAGAGCGGAGTGATTGTCGGACGTCTGTGTTTGTAAAGTTGAGATGCCAGAGTAAAGTCAGGATTTATTGACCAGAATGAATTAGGAAGGGTCAGTCTTCACCTTGAACAATGGGATGGAACCTGGGAATCATAGTGTCACGCAGAGGCCCCTACATTTTCACTAAACTCACCAATACTGGATAATTTTTGCTCATATAATCAATCAAAATCAATCCATCAATTGATTAGCATAGCATTAAAA